GAGCGTCTTATCATACTAGGCTTTATAATTAAGTATTTAAGTTCATAGTTATTAATTCCTGAGATTGTGCCGGATTTAAAGTCAGCTAAATCATCTCTCTGGTTACTCGGTCAGATTCCACGGTTGAATTATGTATGTGGTCGAAAGGTCTGTAGCTAGTGATGTATTATGAACGCTTATTGTATGTGGTGTCTGACCAGATCTCAAGCCTTTTGATGCTTAAAACTGTCACAAGTTCTTTCAGTTGTGTTGCATTTGGTTGACCTACGTGAGAATCTGTTTTATTCATTTCTGTTTAATTAGTCTCTCTGGTGAAGTAATTGGTTTTGAGTTTCAGATCAGCCGGCCTGAAGACTGGGATCGTGTGCCAGACCCAAAGAAGTACTTTGTTCAGTTCTTTGGAACACAGGAAATGTAAGCAAGTCTCTTACATGTAAATTGATCCATGTTATTCTCAAATTCTTGTACCTTCTCATCCAGAATAGTATAATTAACTTTAGTTGATATATCACGTCACAACACTTAGGCAGTAGATCTTGGTTATCAGGTGTTCTCCTTAGTCTGGTTGAAATATCCCCTTTTCCTCGCCATGTTTTTTGATTTTGTAATTTTGATTGACTATATCTTCGGAGTTGGAATCTTTGATCAAGTCATCTTCCTTTTCTTGATAACTGAAGTTATCTTCCTACACTGCAGAGCTTTTGTTGCACCGCCTGATATCCAAGCCTTCACTAGTGAGGCAAAGAGCAAACTATTAGCAAGATGTCAAGGTAAAACAGTAAAGTACTTTGCACCAGCTGTAAAAGAAATCTGCACCGCATTTGAAGAGTTGCAGAATGACAAGTCAAATGTTTTGGACAATGATGATTCTCTGGATGCTGCGGAGCCTGGTTTGACAAAGGCTGAGATAGCAGATGGAACAGATCATACGGTCACCGAGTCTGATGAAACTGATACGGCGGATCCTTGCTTCCACAAATTAGATAAGAATAATGGTGAAGAGAATAAGGCTGAGATAAGGAAGCGAGAGTCAACTCCAGTTCTGGAATCAAAGACCACATCCTCGAGTAGCGAGTCACTGGAGCATGGTTCATATGACCCTAAAATAAAGGAAGAAGATTTTAAGAAAGAAAGTGACGGTGATGCTTGCACTGAACATCTTGGTAATGGCCAAAAGAATCCGGCAAATGGTAAAGGAATAAAGAAGACAGCAGGCGGTTCGGATAAAAGATGTGAAGATACAGTTCATCGAGACAAAAACAGTAACTCACATGTGCCTGATGGTCGAGCTGCTAGTAGTAAATCTGATTCCAGAAAGTCAAAAGGTCTGTTGACAGAGAAATCTAGCTCCAAAGTGTCTGGTGATAAGCATGAAAATTCACCTGGCTTCAAGGGTGGGATTTATGGAAAGAAAAGGAGGCTTGAAAGTGAACTTGGAAAACCTGCACCAAGAGTAGATGAAAGCTCACGTGCTGCCAAAAAGCTGCGATGTGAAGGTGTGAATGATAAAAAAGAGTGTAAAAGCAAGCGTGTTATTCCTGTTGATGAAGACAAAGCTGAGGAACTTAATTCCACTGGGGATGTATCAGATATTAAGCGCGAAATTGTCTTAGGATTAAGTGCTCGTGGAGGAGATTTACAATATGATAAAGAAGTAGTTGCATACACAAAGCGCCGCAGAAAAACATTGGAGCATGCACCTGTTTCTTCTTTTTCTGGGTCTCGTGATAATTCGGGGAAAGGTCAGCTGGAACAGAAAGACCGTTACTCTTCTGTTAGAAACGTTGAAGTTCCAGCTGCAAAGTCGCTGAAAAAACGAAGGGCTGTTTGTATCTATGACGAAGATGATGATGAAGATCCAAAAACCCCATTACATGGAAGACATGTTCCCAAAGCAACATCAGGTTTGACTGATGGCCCCAAAAGTTCTAATGTGTGTCACAATACTTCTACTAAACCTAAGATGTCTGCTGGATCTAGAGAGATTACTGAACTAAGGAAAGCACCTCTGCGTAAACATTGTGAGGATGCTTCACGTGTACTACCAGATAATGTGGAGAAACCTACTAACAGCTTGCCTATGGTAAAACCCATCAGTGAAATGCCGCCAAAGGATGTCAAGCAGATCTTGCGATCTCCTAAGATGTCCCCTCAGCTTGTTTCAGCTAACAAGCACGTAGCAGGACAGCAAAAAGCTACAAAATCTGTGAACATTTCTGGTGCTGGGATGGCAAAGAAGACTCAGATTGATTCTCGTAAGGATGCAGTTGCGGGTCCTGATAAAGTAAGCTCTTCTCAATCTCAGCCAGCAAATCAGGGACTCAAGACAGGCTCAGTTGGAGAGAGGCCAACAGGGGTTTCAAAAGCTGCATTGCGTTTGATTGATGCTAGTGTGTCAAGAGACGCTTCCAAGGACTTGTCAGCTGGCATGTATGTCACATTCTCTCTGTCATCCTTTTCTGTTTATTTCGCCTGTTGCTTATAATCTTTGTCTTTTGCTGATTTTAGGCTTGATTTCAATCGAGAAAATTGGAGTGCTCCATTGATCAGTGCGAGGACCCCAGACTCGGCTGCATCTATGAAGGATCTAATTGCTGCTGCGCAGGCAAAAAGAAAACTAGCACATTCTCAAAATTCAATTTTTGGGAATTTGAACCCTAGTTTCTTGAGCATCAGTGATACACAGATGAGGAGCCATAGCCCATTTATGGCTCAGAATGCTCCAGCTTCTGCTGGCATGGCAATGCCTTTAGCTGTTCAAGGACATCAACAAGATTCTTCTCCATCAAATCATGGGCATCAGTCCTCATCAAGAAATCAAATTGAGACTGATGATAATGAAGAGAGAAGACTTAGTTCAGGGCATAAGTCAGTTGGAGGTTCACTTAGTGGTGGCACTGAGGCTGCTGTTTCTCGGGATGCTTTTGAGGGCATGATAGAGACCTTATCAAGAACTAAGGAAAGTATCGGACGTGCAACACGCCTAGCAATTGATTGTGCAAAGTATGGGATTGCCAGCGAGGTAAGATTGTTGTTTGGTTTTCAATATGTTCCGTTTTAAGGTTTTCAACGAACTTAGTGTTCAGACAGCACATAAAGAATCAATATAGAGTTGCACTTTATCCTGTTTACCTTATTGGTTGTTAGCTTGCTATGTAAACTGCTTGAACAGAATTACTTACAGCATTTAGTGTGAAACATTGTTCAGACAATTGTTGCTTTAATTGGAAATTTTTGTTGTGGTTATTCTAGGTGGTGGAACTTCTCATACGAAAGTTGGAAAGTGAGCCTCACTTCCATCGTAAAGTGGACTTGTTCTTTCTCGTCGATTCTATTACCCAGTGTTCGCATAGCCAAAAAGGTGAGCTTTCCTCTTGAATTGATACAATATCTTTTCTCAAATTAGCAATTCCATGAATGTGAATGGATTTTGGATTTTCGTCTGCTTTCAAAGAGAACACCTTGTATATTTTCTTATCAGAAACTATTTCTGCCTGAAATTAGTACATAATTTCTGATGCTTGCGAAATATCTTTCTAGGTATTGCTGGTGCTTCTTACGTTCCTACTGTGCAAGCAGCTTTGCCACGTCTTTTAGGTGCTGCTGCTCCTCCAGGGACTGGTGCTCGTGACAACCGACGCCAATGTCTCAAGGTAATTTTACTTTTGCTCATTGCTAGATTATCCTCGCATTTTTTTGGGGTGGAGTCAGTGACCTCGTTACTTTTTTTTAGGTTCTGAGGTTGTGGCTTGATCGGAAAATTTTCCCTGAATCTCTTCTGCGTCGCTATATTGATGATATTGGAGCTTCTGGTGATGATGCAACCGTTGGGTTTTCCCTGAGACGTCCCTCTAGATCTGAGCGTGCTGTAGATGATCCTATAAGGGAAATGGAAGGGATGCTTGTTGATGAGTATGGCAGGTATGCTAAACGCTTGTCTTGCTTAGTAGTTTACCCTCCGGATTTAATATAATTGCTGCTGACAGAACAGGCGAAGTCCGGAAATTTTTATTACTGAATAGTTTGTGAAGATGGGCTTACTGCCATTCTGTCAAGTGTTTATAAATCTCTTTGCCATTTTCTGCAGTAATGCAACTTTTCAGCTGCCCGGGTTTTTTCCTTCTCACACTTTTGAAGATGATGAAGAAGATGACGATCTTCCAACATCACAAAAAGAGAAAAGTACATCTGCTGTGGAAGAGTTGGAAATACCTGATACTTCGAGTGATAGACGACATCGAGTTTTGGAGGATGTAGATGGTGAACTTGAAATGGAAGATGTAGATGGTCAGCGGAAAGATGTAGCACCTTCCTCTGTCTGTGAGAGTGAGGCAAAGGAGCAGTCATCGGATGTTAGAAAACTAGCTGCAGAAAATTCAACTGAGGTGCCTTCTCTTCCGGAGGATTCCCCTCCGCTACCCCACGAAT